GACTGAAAAATTCATCTGTCAATCCTGTGCATTTGAGATTCTTTGAACTTGTTGAATGGATCAAGACAATTCCATTGAGTTCTTGAGTCCATATGTGAGCTTGGTTTGCCATTGATTAGGTCAAACAGTCAAAAATTGCCTTTGTGCAGTCAAAACCCTAAAAATGACCATTTTGCCCTTTTGGTGGTCTGATCAAATTTCTTGGGGAATTGTGTTCCAAACTTGACCAAATGGTTCATATGAGTTCATAATGTTGATGTGGGTCAAATTTCATGAGGTTTGACTATCAATTGGCCATAGTTGACTTTTCCTCCAATACAGTTGATTTCTAGGTCAACTATCCAATTGACTGGGCAAAGATTGGAATCAAGACTTGAAACTTGGCATGGACAAACTTGTGAGTCCAACATGAAGCATGAAAGTCACTTTGGGAATTTTAGGTCAAAACATCTTTGTGCAAACTCAAACCCTAATTTGGGTTAACAGTGCAAGGAGGAGTCTTAAGCAGAGCAAACCCTAATTTGATCTTGAGCTCCAAGGGTCTTGTGGTGAGAAAATATTGATGAAATGGGAGGGAAAATTTTGGGGTACAACAGCTGGTAATTGGTATTATGACTTGTTGAAAAAATCAAGATACAAGGTTGTTACAGGGTAAATTATACACTTTACCCTAGCATGTTACTCATATCCGTGAAAAAAGCCAATTTATATTTCTGCTTATTTTTACTTACTGCTCCAATCAAAACCCCAATTTAAGTTTTTGTTTAAGTGAAACACGAATTAAACTCGATACTGATATGCAATCCTTGAGATCGATACTTTGGGATTTCCCATTATTACTATATTGGCCAATTAGTACACTTGCTAATTTTCCTATCATTCATCAAGTTAGAATGATGTATGAATGATATATTTATAGTTGGGATATTTTTAGGTAAAAGTGGGAAGTTTCGAAATGAAAAAATGACCCACAAAATAGTATGTGTCGACCTGAAAAAATTATGTGTCGACACATGTAAAACAGTAGCTACAAGCTTTAATAATGCAGTACACATGTCGACCTATAAATCGTATGTGTCGACCTATGTGCCTGTGTTTTAAAGTAGAAATGTTGAAGGCTTTAATAATGTAGTACATTTGTTGCCCTATAAATTGTATGTGTCGACCTATATTGAAGATTTTAAGAAAAAGCAGAAAGGCTGAATTTATGTGTCAGCGCATACAAATTTCAGGTCGACACACAAATGCTGATTTTATGAAAAAACTAAATTTTCATGATTGGGACCAATTCTAAAGTTGTTTTAAATGATTCCTAAGACCTCTAATGCAAGGGAGTGCCACATGACATAGAGATACCGTCCAATATACATAAATGCTAAGTTTCTCTAGTTTTGGTATCATGCAAAATCTCTAATGGTGAAGTTGCATTCACTTATTTGAGTTGACTGATTGTTACTTACTTGTCAAGTTATTATTCTCGCTCAAAGCCCATAGGCACGAGTTGAGTATTGTTCTTGGTCGAAGCTTTTAAGCAAAACTAAGTATTTGTTTTTGGAAGTGTATCTTCTTTTGGTTGTAATTGAGGAGTGTGTACTTCCTAACAGTTCCTGGGACTGGAAATGTTTTCCCTGTGATTTTGCGGTGATTAGAAGTGGGATGGTGATTTCTCATATCTAGGAAGGACCTAGGTAGAAGTTGCACTGGGTAGGTATTAGGCGATAAGTTGTAAACGGGGGATTTTAGCTTTGAACTAGCACTACTGATATTGATTTATTTCCTAGCTTGGTAGCCTCCAGAGTAAGTGAATTCCATCGAACTAGGTTAACATATCATCATGTTCTTTCTTTTTCTGCAAGTTATAATTTTGATGTGCTGTTATTTTTGTTTGTTGTTCTGTCAACAGATGTCATAACATATGTTGTAACATTGTGTGTTATTAAGACACTGGTCTTAACTTATGATATTATTGCATGCTAGAATTTCAAAATGGAAACACACAAAAAAAATTTCAAATATCAAGCAGATATACAATGCGTGTCATCAACACAAAATGGCGATAAGGGGTCCAAGATCCGAAATTCAATAACTTTTGGAACTTTTGGATGAAAACCTTTATATTTCTAGGTACACAATATATGATGATAAAGTCATTGTTCGTGAAATATTCTTGACTCATCCTGAAAGTATCAAGTTGTTCAACATATTTCCTACTATCCTTATTATGGATGCAATGTACAAGACCAAGAAGTATAGGTTTTCGCTCTTGAAATTGTTTGGGTTACTTCTACGGAGAAAACATGCTGAAGGTAATTGTCACTGATTGAGACACTACACTAATGAATTCAATTGTAAATGTGTTTCCAACATTCTACGCATTACTTTTTCTACATCACATTAAACAAAATGTGAGGAGTCGGATAAAACCACGGTAGGCACCAAACAAATCAAGGGTGAATACGGAAAAATGGTCACACCAAGTGTGGTGGTGAAAAATATTATGGATGCATGAACTGATATATTAAATTCATCCATATAAGAGTTGTATGTTACCTCCGCAATGCAATTTAGGATCATGTGTGTCCGATATCTAGATTTCTTGAAAAACATTAAGAGTACTATTTTAGACTAAGTGAAGGAGAAAGTTGTCCATGCATGGACCAATAAGGTTAGACACCTCGGAAATATAATAACTAACAGAGTCGAATCAACATATTCAACATTGAAGAAATGGTTGGGTGATAGTAAAGGTGATTTCTATAGAGATTGGGACAGGGTGAACTAAATGCTCCAAAACCAACATTCAGAAATACAAACTAGTTTTGGTCGAAGCATAATGGATCAAGAACATAGATTCAAAGACTGCATTTTTTATTCATAGTTGGTTGGGTGCGTATCTCGGTGGCATTGAATTTCATCTTTCACGAAGCAAAACGAGCAGAACATACAAGTAAAGATAAGGAAAAATACGGGTGCACAGCTTGGAAGAGTTATGATCTTCTGTGTGCTTGTCTCATTGCAAAATATGGGTGAATAGTTTGGAAGACTTATGGTCTTCTATGGTTTAATGAGGATGGTATAATTAAGGATGGTAAAGCTAGTATAAGCATCCAGACCGAGTGGGAAATAATCCAAGATAGATTTGAGAAGGCATATGACACCATGAAATTTCACATCAAAGAGTAGATGAGGAAGATTGCATATCCGAAAACCACAGATTTGAAACCTCCTTCGCAACTAGTTAAAACTAAAGGTGCCTCTAAAAAGGTAAAACTGACTCAAGATGACAATACAATAAAGCGGTCTCCATCTTACTTTGAACATGTTGATTCATATTTCCCAGATTCTCCAACTCCAAAATCTCAAAAAAAGTGTTCACGAGGGTGTTTGCATTAGCAAACCACCTCCACCACCGATGCCCAGATTGAATTCATTGATGAAATTTCGCTTTTTATGCACAAATACATTGAGTGAATTGTGAATGTTGGGGATGATGGTAATTACGATTTTTAGGTTGTATCCAGATTGCTCGGTAAAGGAGAGGAGGATCACCAACTTGTCCGTGCACTTTTGAAATAGTGAACCTTACACCACAATTGACTAAAAGAACCGTGGTAATATACAAGGACCCATTTTGTGACGATAAAATGAAAAAATTTTGGGGCTAGGATTCGAACCATGTAACTCCTGGTACATTTCACTAAAATTTTAACTATACGACTGTAGTGAAATGTCTTTTAGTAAATACAAAAAAAGAAGTCCAAAAACGAGTTATTACCACGATTAACATAGAGGTTGTTGTAATATTGTGTTATGAAAGGTCTTTTCTATAGTAGTGATAGTCTTCTCTAATTTGGGGTAATGATCACGTATACTGATGTTAATTCCTTTTTCAAGGTTTCTAATGAATTCAAGTACTCATCAACGAAATCAAATATTTTTTTCAAGTTACAACAACTAACATAGAGGTTTGGTTACTTTTGAAAAATCATTAATAAAAGTAATGTAAAAGGCAACGCAACCAACAAAACTTTTTACTCGTTCCATTGAGTTATACTTTAACTCAATCCACTTCTAAGCCTTAGATGCCTTATTCACATGACAACACCTTCTTTCACCATGAATTGACATTTTTCCTAATTCAGCATGTGTTTAGAAACATGGTGGGCCACCGCCACCGCGTGTTCATAGCGTTTCCATCGTGATTTTCAGAAGTTACTATTGGTAGCTTTTACAAACCGCACAATATCGCCATGATTTTTACATATCTTCAAACACATATTCAATATTGAATATTAAATTGCTCTCTTCATACCATCTCAATTACGTCATACATTGACTTTTCTTAAGATAAATTTAGTAGTATAGATGCTCTGTCTCTCAATTGTGTCTCACTTTTGATACATGATAAAATGATATATTTTTATTAGATGAATTTTTTTTTATATTACCGGTACATCACCATTAAACTTTTAATAAAATTTATTAATTATCTTATTATATATAAAAAGTCTAAATAAAAACAATGCGTAAAAAAAATACGCCTTCCTATCTTACATATAAAGAAATATTTTTTCTCAAATTTATTAAATAACATATCAAATATATCAGTTATTTAATAATTTAAAAAAAAAAATGAACAAATACAACTTAGTTATAAGATGTAAAAAAATGTAAAAAGGATATTAGTACTTCTTAAAAGAAAGTATAAATTCTCCTTTTCTAACAAGCACTCAAATTCTAACATACTTAAAACCGTAAGTAACAAGAAGATGACGTGGTTTTGAGTTTGTTTAGACAGTTAGAAGGTGTGACCTACTACCGGCCTTACCGGCTACCAAGCACTCAAATTTACAACTTTCTCTCGTCAAGGCTACACCTGACAATAACAGTTACTACTACTACTTCAGAGTGGGAGTGAGAGAAGTCTTGATTCGCACTTCACCGTCGTATTCACCGTCGCATTCTCCATTTTTCTATTCTCAAACCTTCTCAGTTCTCACATGTCGACGGAACCACCGTCCAAGCGCGATAAGTTGCAATGGGAATACCCGGTCGCTGGTTTAATATCCGGATTCGCCACCTTAACCGTAAAGTATCCCCTCGACCTTGTCTCAACTAGGCTTCAAGGTTTTCTCTCTCTTTTTTCATCTATATGATTTTTTATTTCCTTTACATTTTCCATACATTATGTTCAAATTTTTAAACCTTGATTTGATTCCACAGTTAACGATGGTCGACTCTTCTCTCAATTTCCTAGATACAAGAACACCGCTCACGCCTTTTTCACCATTGCTCGCTTCGACGTTTGTGTTTTTCTTAGCTCATTACTGTTGCAGTTACTTTCGTCATTGAATTTGCAATTTTCTGTTTGCAGTTCGATTATCACAATGCAGTTGTTTCGATATCTCTATGCAATAGCGCTATGGCGCCTCTATTTAACAAACTTCTGGTTTAGGGACTTTGTGCATGTCATACTATGAATGTTCTACTTACACGCATGTTTTATCTTGCAGGGATTGAAAGGCTTATATGCAGGCTTTCTTGCTGGGATTCTTGGGTCAAGTATTTCATCGGGTTTAGTACTCGTTTGGTAAGTAGTTTAAATTTTAACCTTTCATTTTTACACCTGATGCTCACTTGGAGGGAATGATATTATATTAGGATGACATCTTTGTCTTGTGATGTTTGTGCATATAGTATATAGTATGCATTCTGGTTGAATTTTAACCTGTTTAAATAAGTATGATTCTCTCCTTCTGTCTGTCTCTCTCTGTCACACACACAGAGCTTATATTTCTTTGTCAGAGTGAAATCAATATCTTGTAGTTGACGGTATGTGATGATGGCAGACAACTTATTATGTTCTTTGTCTAAAACATGAATGGCACTCACTAATTATTAGTAGCTAAGGACTACTTTTCAGCATCAATGTGTTTGTATTGATAGTTTCATCTGGTGCAAAAAAAAATTATTTTGGAAAATTGCATTGCTTGTTTTTTTTTTTATTATGTGAAGTATTGTCCCCCCTCCCCCCATTTTTAACTTCCATTTTAGAAATTATAAATTATCCTAGAGAAAGAATTTGAGAGAGATCAGAGATGATTATTCTCTTTTCTAGATTTTCAATTCAATCATTGTCACCAGTACAGGTGAGAGTGACCTATTTATAGATTCACCACTAAGCATTTGTTTGGGAGTTTGGAGGAGAGGTGATGGAAATAGAGAATCTTTATGTATTAAGTATGAAAAGGGAGCAAGGCTCACTTACAATAATGAATGAAAGAGATTAACCTGAGTTCAAGAACCCCTATCCCTCTTATCACTGTTCCCATCCTAACCAAATCTTGCCACATCACAACTCTCCCCATTCAACACACCAACTGGGCTAAAGCCCAAATCCATTATCCCATCACTACCGGCCGCTAGATAAATAGTCCTGTCCTCAAGGCTAAGATAAGGACACTAACATGTTGAATACATCCTATCCTATCTTTTGCAGCTGGTGACATGACCATGGTATGAACAGCTTGCAAGAGATCAAGGAATTTAGGCACAAGCGGTTTCAACAAAACAACTTATGTATTGAACTGTTCAAGAACCCTCTCTGTATTGTAATTACTGCAATCACGTTCTTGCCCCCAAGAACCCACTGTTGGTGGAAGCATAATGACTCTGCAAGAGCCGACTGATCATAAACAGATGAATTTGCTAAAACAAATGACCTCACTCCACAACCCATTGGACTAATGCCATAAGTCTTTGCATATCTTGTAGGAAATATACTGAAGGGACTAAAAAACGACAATAAAGGGGTTTGTGGTAGAGACCAAATAGAGGTCATAAGGAAAAAGGAAGTATTATGTAATACTGAGTGTGGTAAGGATACATGATAAATAAAGAGTGAGTTAGGATTTCTAGTTGGCAGGTTTGTTATGCCTTAGTAGTATAAAGACACACAGTTTTGTGCTTAACATGCTGGTCCATCTTATTGCTTCATTTTCTTTCTTTTTCTCTTTCAATTGTAGCTATGCCAGAGCTAAACAAAAATATGCTAAGAGCAAAGAGGAGAAGTTTCATCCAGGTCTTGCCTCAGTTGTGGAAACAGGAGCTTTGGTGAGTGTTCAAATATACAAAATATTATGAAAGGATAACCACATTTATAATTCATGGTAAGATATTTGGATAGATTATATGTTGTTCAATCCTGCTAGTGTTTTGTCTTTATCAGTTGTTGCAACTTGAAGTAAAGTTTCATAATCTCCCTGGGTTTGCATTTTTAGCTTTTGCTTCTATTGGGCCCAAGGAGTGGTGAGAAGGAGGGATACAATGGAATACTTTTGGTAAAACTGTATTAGATGATTTTTATTATGAAACTTGTTGCTTGAATATTAAGTGAGGGCCTAACATACTTTACTACTTTCTTATCTGTGTATATACTTGAGAATAGTACCTAGCTTTAAAATATTTGGATGTTTAGGGCTCCAAAACCATGTGATCATAGTGTGGCACATTCATGAATGGTGTCAAAACTGAATTAACAGTCATTTTGGTTTCCTTCACCTGTTATCAGGTTTGCTTGTGCGCAAATCCTGTTTGGATAGTGAAGACAAGGTTGCAGCTTCAGACACCTCTTCATCAGACACGGCCATACTCTGGGCTCTATGGTTTGCTTTCCATCTTAAATTAAACTTATATTCTGAATTGTTCACGTTCGGGTTAATTTTCTTGATGTTCGTCTCTTTTCTACTCTGGCTCTAGAGGTTAGCATAAAATAGCTTTATTATTATTATTATCTTCTACACACAGACTCTCTTAATCACATTCACCTCACCCAAGCTGAGCTAGAAAATAGAAATTAGTATATATCTCATTTTCACTAACTGGTTCAATTGGAGTAATGATATTTGGTGGAGGTTTGTCCTTCTCACCCAAAACAGGTTGTCGGAAATTTTATATTTAATTATCCACTGTATGTATTCAAGTATCTACATTCAGTCATTAACTACTACTTGGTAATGGATTAAGCATACAGATTCATTCCATTTCTTTCAAGTTTCAACTACCTAAAAGCTAAAACATGATAGTCACAGTATATTTTTCGTATTGTGGTTGTATTCGTCATTATACCAATTGCTAACCTGCCATGGCATATTTTTATCTGGATAATCAAATATCAGATGCATTTAGGACCATAGTAAGGGAAGAAGGGTTTAGGGCACTTTTCAGAGGAATTGTTCCTGGTTTATTCCTGGTATGTTGCTGGCTCTTGTTATTTTTCCTGTCAATCATATGCACTTAAAAATATAGTTAAACATATTATAATGTGTGGAGTTGAGCTTAAATAAAGATAAACTGATACTTAATGTTGAGCCAGTAGCAACTAACCATTATGGAGTCTTCGATTCAATATACCAATTAAACTCATCAATTATCAGAAGCCTCACGTTAGATTCTCCCAACCAATTACTGTCAAGCTACAAATGCAATTAGTTTATCATGTGATTTTCAGATGGTCTCTGACACATGTTAGCATAATTTGTCTGTGATGAACTGGTTATTAACTTATTACCCACATCGTTATATTGTTTTCTATTCACTCACGAAATTTCATTTGTTAAAACTAAACAACCATGTATTTAGGACCATTTTGAGGGAAGAGTGACCTAGTGCACGTAATAGAGGGATTTTTCCTAGTCCTTTTATGTTAAGTTGCTTGCTCTTGTATTTTGCCTGTAAATCTTGCCACTTAAAATTTTAATGGAATATTAAATGTAATATGTAGAGTTGTGCATAGAAAAGGCCTTTCTTTTCCAATCTTCAATGACATAACACAATAGCACTATTTGCAACTGGCCATTAGAAACTTGAATCCACCAATTAAATCCATTACAACCCTCGCAGTGGATTCTTCATTCAATTTCAGTTAAATGTTACCGAATTTATTTGTCATGTAATTGGCACATGACACTAAGACATGTACTAGTATGAATTAGTCATATCTTCTTCAGCAATCGTTAATATTGCATGTTAGAAATAGATTAAAAGCTCTACAAAATATCTCTCGACATATTTGGTAACAAGTTCCTCAAAAGTTAATCATGTGACCTAGCTCCCAACCTTCTATCCTTATCAAACACTTTGTTAGAGAAATAAAATCATTTAAGAATCCCCGCCTAACAGTTTAAGATTTGGAGAGTTGGTCCATGACATCGTATTAGAGCCTTTGATACTCTAGTGTTTGATGATATGTGTTGCTCTCCCTCTTAATGAAAATGATTGTATTTTATCTTAGCATGAGAAGTCTAGCTGGAGTATACTCTTTGTCCAACTTGAATCTGAATATTTCTTATTGATATGAAAAAATTTCAGCAACTATTTATATACATGGAAGATATATAATTTAAATCGGAATTTAATCCTATCATAATCCCAAAGGATGCTAACAAATCATAGTATAATAAATATCAATATCTCAACAATAAATAGGACTTTGTAACTTATAAGGACTTAAATAACATGTCTGCAAGTTGATTATTAGGTCTGACAAAGGAAGTCTTGATGCTACTCAAGATAATCTTCTCTCTAAGAAATGATATGAAATAATAGTCAATCTTTATGTGTTTAGTCTTCTCATGAAAGATTGGATTTTAAATCTTGATGGCTACTGGCGATATTAAGAACCGACAAAATCATGATTTTTATTGTCTACTTGTTGTTCATAGAGAGCTTACTTGACTTTGTGGGGGGGTTTTGGCAGGTCGCTCATGGTGCTATTCACGTCACTGCATACCAGGAGCTTCGTAAAACTCTTACTCATTTGAAGAATAAAGGAAGTAATATACAACATCAAAACCCTGATAAAATTTTGGTAAGTTATTGAACCTTAGATCCATTTAACTTTGAATTTTCAATTGTACTGAACTACTTGCATTTCATAAATGATTGTCTGGTGATTGACCTTTTTGGTTACTTGTATGGCACCGAAGTTCTTGTTTTATGATAGGATATTCTTGTCACTTGAACTATGCAGTTGGGTTCACCTTGTGGGAAAGACTTTGTTGTTGTTGTGTAGTATAATACTTGTGTAGAACATATTGGCTCTTTGGCTCGTGCATCAGGCCATTTTACAATTTTATTTAATAAGTTCAAATTAATGCATTGAAATATTATACCCGTCATTCCTTCAGATTTTAAGGCTTTGTTAAGTTGTTTTTAAACTATGTTGAATTCTCTGAAATTTTAAATGAGACAAATATGTGAAAATTGAATAATATATTTCAAGTGTAAAATATTGTACAAACATTAATTTTGTTTATAGAGAGACTATTTGAATAAAGGTCCGAATATGAATTACTACTAATAATAGTAAAAATAACTACAATAAAAATAAATTGTTTATATACATTAATCTTTGTACATAGAGAAACTATTTGAATAAAGGTCTGAATATGAATTACTACTAACAATAGTAAAAATAACTACAATAAAAAATAAATTGTTTATAATACTCTTCCTCAAGTTGGTGAATGAATATCTATCTTTCCTAATTTTGAAACAATCTTTTCAAAGTTATTGTTGTTTAGCCCCTTCGTTAGAAAATCTACTTTGTAGCTTGGGAAGAAATGTATGGAGTGCAAATAAAACCACTATCTAATTTTTCTTTGATGAAGTGTCTATCAACTTTAATATATTTGGTTTTATCATGCTGCACTGAATTATGAGCTATACTAATAAGAGATTTATTATATCAAGGTTCATTACTCTTGATCTTCAAGTCTTCTAAGATCATTTTCAGTCATAGTAGTTTGTACATCCCTTGTGTTATTGCCTCAACTTTGCCTCAGCTTGGATACCACGCTTTTGATTTTTTTACTTTTCCAAGACACAAGATTCCCCGCGAAAGTACAATATCATGTAGTTGAAGAGACTCATCTTCCTTACTAGTTTCAATCTCAACTGATCCGAAAATAAGATCAGGAAGTAGAAGAGACTCATCTTCCTTACTTATATTTTCCCTCTAAATATATGAGTTTGAAGGAAGTGACTTTCTTGTTCATGGAGGTGAAATCTCAAAATATAAAGAATTTATGAGATGGTGGTTGATAATATTTGTAACCCTTTTGGTTGGAAGGGTATCATCCTATAAAGACACATTTTAGTGCTCTAGGATCAAGTTTCTTTATGTGAATCATCTGAGATAAGCTAATAGCTTTTTAATACATATTTTGAGTCTTGTATTGTACTCTTAGCATCCGGCTATTTTATGCTTATAAATATTTTCATTTAAATTTTATATTCAAGTACTCAAGGTATTTTCCATGATTTACATATGCAATGTTTTGATATTTTATTCCTTTCTCCAGAATTCTGTTGATTCTGCTGTTCTTGGAGCAACATCAAAAGTTGCTGCAATACTCCCAGCCTATCCATTTCATGTACAACTCTCTCTCCCCTTGCCTTTTGAAGGAGAAAAGTTTGAACTTTAGTGTCAAACATAGTATATCAATCATAGAAAAAGTTGCTTTCTCATGTTGGATTCTGTTTTCCCCCTTTTTTTCAGGTTATACAGACTCGCTTGCAGGTATCAGAGAGTGGTTACAAGAATAGGGATAATACTTGGTGCTTAACTTTTAATTATGTATCATTCTGAATCTCAGCTGGACTAAAACTACTTTCTCTCTGCAGCTACGACCTGACAGTGATGGGATATCAAGATATAAGAACAGTTGGCATGTTGTGAAAGAAACTGCACGGTACATATTAAAACCCATTAAGATCTATTTTGCATCTTTTCATTAACAAATAAGGAAAGGTGAAACTGGGTTGGGACTTAGGAATGATATAAATGTTGTTTATACTTGAGTTACTTAGACCTTGCCAACACAATATGTTGACTTTAGTCTAACACTGTCAACAAATTACAAAGACTGTTGTTACTTTATGTGTATCCATGTTTATATGCTCTTAATTTCAAATTGAACCAATCTTTTCTGCATTGTTGATTATATTCTGTTCTTGCAGATTTGAAGGTGTTCGAGGTTTTTACAAGGGAATCACTGCGAACCTCTTGAAAAACATTCCTGCTGCTTCAATAACATTTGTTGTTTATGAAAATGTTCTGAAATTACTTAAACAGGCTAGAAGGAAGGACTGAGTGAGACAGTATTTGGATATTCAGGGGGAAATTTGAAAATGATCCTCTACCTCAAACAGAAAATTCAGAATTGAGAATGAATCTCGATGCAAGAAATAGCAGTGATAGATAGAAATAATTAGTTATGTGAATATCTTGTGTGTATTGCTTCACTCTCCCATCATTGAGCTAACATACCACTACTTTATTACAATGAGCATATTACAAGGTCAGCTCATCAACTCTCTTAACAGAATTGTGTGTGGAATAAATTGTCACCTCATAAAAGTGAAAACATAAAAATAGAAAAATAACAATTATATACTTCTATTTATAAGATGATAAAATAAAAGTGGTACTGGTTTGCGTTGCTAAAGAATAAATAATAGGACAATACCCCTCCCTCAACCATACACTTGTTCTCAAGTGTGAAAAATAGAATATTTCTTGAATAGATCATAGTAAAGCTCTCGTGTAGCTTGAGAAGAAGACTCCCATTTCCATTGCTAACACATTAGTAACAGCAGTGCGCCCCCTCTTAACCATTTTCCTCTAAAGAATAAGCCCTGGTTCCTTATTAACCCTGTAGTTGGCAGAAGGGTCATGTAAAAGTTGGAATGAGGTACTTTGAGGACTCACACACATCACTAATTGAGATACATGGAACACATTGAGTATATCAAGAGAATGGGGTAATTCTAATTGATAGGCAACTGAACCAATGCGATCAAGGACTTTAATTGAGATACATCAACGGTTTTTTGCCATTATGAGCTTATGATTTTTTCCCCGCTCGCAAGTAATTGATTCAGATGTACACTAACCTCTCCAATGATGGGTTTATTCATCCCATTGTATGCCCATTCGAGACTTATGACACTAATTGAGACAGTATTGGGATATTCAGAGAGAAATCCAAGAATTGTCCTCTACCTCAAGCAGGAAATTCGGAATTGAAAATAAATCTCGATGCAAGAAATAGAAGTGACATGACTCAGTCCAATAGGAGGGCTAGCATGCATCATGAAGTCAAACATTAGAAGAAACTGATAACTTGGCCATTGTTATCAAAATATCTTTACGGGGCTGCTGTAAAAGTGAGAATGAATGAAGATGAAAAATAGAGAAATAAATTTGCTTGAGAAAATTTCAAAGCATATGTTTCCACACTAAACTTAAGGAACAATCCGCCCCCACCAATCTTTCTATGTTGGATGCAAAAAGGTTTACCGGCAAATTTCCTGTAGGATACTTTGGAATCCTTAAAGAGAATTGCACAATCTCTCTGAGCGTATCTTTAATAGTATTTTACAGAAGAATAATTCTTTTTCTTGCTCTCATGCATTAGAGAAGAGAAAGATGATTTAGTATGAGAAAATGATTTGAGACTGATTATTCTTGATCTTCTTTATTGTGCCAATAAACATTCAATTTATAGTGAGACTACAATCTGTTTGGGAACAGATGTTTCTCCATGAAAGGGAATTGCACCTTTTGATAACAACGTAGTAACAACGTTTTGCATAGAAATAGCAATAGTTTGCTTATAAATTGCAATTGTTCCTAATTAATAGGTAACCAATTGACACGGCACATTATACCAACAATCATTTAATTTAAATAATATATATATCTGAATATAATATTTATATTATTAATTCAAATAATACAATCATTTAATTTAATATTATTTTGGAAATTCTCTTACAATCCCCCACCATTTTCAAAATAACTAAATCTCATAATTCTGGAAATATCATGGTTTCAAATATTGGTATCTTACGATTTGAACCAATACTTAGTAAGCTATGGGTTTCACTCATCCCGAACAGACATTGGTAGACAAGCTTTAAACCAACTAGTCATTAGAACAAGTGTGCAACACTTACACATGAAATCTCGATACTATCAAAAGAATTGTAAAAATGACACATTTGATAAGGCCCTATGTCATGTAACCTTTTCATGAGAATTTAAGAGTCAAGCCATTGAACTCTATGAAGCGGCCCACTTCATTCTCATATAGGTAGACTATATCGGAAATGCTCCCATAATAAACATTTCAGCAAATAAGTGCTATATATATTAAGAGAATAATCTCATCCTATCACTTCACCTTTTATGGTCTAAGTACTTTTTGCCCCTTGAGGTGTCTCTATTGTTAAGTACCTCAATCACTCTAATAGTGTACTTTCATCATTGAACTCAAGACTTGATTTTTATCAAGTGTGAGTTAAGTTTCCACTATTGGTGATCAATTAGATATGGGCTTGAGACTCATCCCCAATGATGTCTTCAACACCGTGTCTTTTGTCAGACATTTCGTCAAAGGATCTGCAAGATTATTTTTAGTTCTTACGTACACTATGGAGATTACTCCATTTAAAATTAAATCTTTCACATAGCTATGTCTTATACCAATATGTCTAGATTTTCCATTATATACTTGGCTATATGCTTTGGATAGTGTGGATTGACTATCACAATGTATGGACACAGGTGTTATTGGCTTTGGCCAAATAGGTATCTCATACAACAAGTTTCTTAGCCATTCTGCCTCTTTACTACCTGCAGCCAAAGCAATGAATTCTGCAACCATGGTGGAGTCGGCAATGTAAGTCTGTTTCTTTGAACCCCAAGAAACTGCACCTCTACCAAGATTTAAGATCCACCCATTAGTGGAGGCGTGATCTTCCACATACGTTACCCAACTGGCATCTGTATATCCTTCTAAAACCGAAGGATATCCACTATAAGTTAGAGTATAGTTAATCGTCACTTTCAAGTATTTTAATACTTTATTAATAGCATGCCAATGGTCTATACTTGGATTACTTGTATACCGACTTAATCTACCAACAACATAAGCTATATCAGGTCTAGTACAGGTCATAGCATACATCAAGCATCTGATAACCTTTGAATATTCAAGTTGTGCCACTGGACACCCTTTATGTGGTTGCAAATTAACATTTTGATCAAATGGAGTAGAAACGAATTTGCAATCGAAATGATCAAATTTCTTAAGCACCTTTTCGATATAGTGAGACTGGGATAAACCAATATGTTCACCATCTCTTATGATTTTAATTCCTAAAATCACATATGCTTCACCTAAGTCTTTCATATCAAAAATTTTGGATAAGAAAGCTTTAGTCTTTTCTACCTCTTTTAATTCAGTACCAAAGATTAACATATCATCCACATATAAACAAATCATAACCCCTTTTTCATTGTTAAATTTACTATAAATACATTTGTCAGATTCATTTATTTTGTATCCATTGGCCAACATAACTTGATCAAATTTTTGATGCCATTGTTTGGGCGCTTGTTTTAACCCATATAAAGACTTAGTTAATTTACACACTTTATGTTCTTGGCCTTTGATAACAAACCCTTCGGGTTGTTTCATATACACCTCTTCATCTAATTCTCCATTTAGGAAAGCAGTTTTGACTTCCATTTGATGAATGACAAATTTAAAGATGGAGGCGAGTGCTAAAAGCACTCTAATTGATGCAATTCTTGCAACAGGTGCATAAGTATCAAAATAATCAATTCCTTCTTTTTGTGTAAATCCTTTAGCGACAAGTCTAGCTTTGAATTTTTCAATGGTGCCATCAACTTTCATTTTCCTTTTAAAGATCCATTTACAACCTATTGGTTTAGATCCTGGTGGAAGATCTACTAGTTTCCAGGTTTTATTACCCATAATTGAGTCCATTTCCTCTTGGATGGCTTCTTTCCAAAAGGCCGAATCTTGAGATTTTATTGCCTCTTCAAATGTTTCTGGATCATTCTCTAGGTTATAGCAAATTGGTCCATAACAATTTATGGAATTATTATTTCCTTCTACGAGAAACATAAAGAAGTCTGATCCATAGTTTTTTACTTTTCGTATTCTTTTACTTCTTCTAGGTTCTGAACGTCCCAAGATATCATTATTTGATACATTACTTTCTAGACTTTGAACATCATAATGAACATTGTCTTTGCGATTTTGAATTATGGTAAATCTACTTTCTTGAAAAATTGCATCTCGTGATTCAATCATGGTATTAATAGGATATGAGTCATTAGATTCAATAACCATGAATCTATATGCTTTGCTATTTTCAGCATAGCCCAGAAATACACATTCAATTCCTCTTTCTCCCTATTTCTTTCTTTTTGGTTCAGGCACCTTTACAATTGCTCTACAACCCCAAACTTTTAAATATTTGAGATTCGGTTTTCTTTTCTTCCAGAGTTCATATGAGGTTATCTTGTTCCTTTTATTAGGAACTCTATTCAATATATAACATGCAGTTAGCATGGCTTCACCCCAATAACCTTTAGATAAACCAAAATAGGATAACATGGCATTTACCATTTCTTCTAACACCCTATTTTTCCTTTCTGCTATCTCATTTTGTTATGGGGAATAGGGTGCAGTTATTTGATGTATAATACCAGTTGACTCAAAATAATTAGGATGATAGAACTCTCCTCCTCTATCACTCCTAAAACATTTAATAAAAGTTTCATGTTGAAGTTCTACTTGTGCTTTAAAAATTTTGAATTTGTCTAAGACTTCATCCTTAGATTGCATTAAATAAACATAACAAAATCTAGTGCAATCATCAATGAAAGTGACAAAGTATTTCTTACCACCAATTGTGGGCCAACCATGTAAATCACATACATCAAAATAAATTAAATCTAATACTTTAGAACTTCTTTCAATTGATTTAAAAGGTTGTCTTGTGATTTTAGTTAACATGCAAGTAGTACATGAATTTGAATTTTTGTCAAATGTTGGAATTAAATTTAATTTTATCATATCATTTAATTTTCTAAAATTAACATGTCCTAGTCGCATATGCCATAAATCACAAGATTCAACAGTATAAGCAGAAATCACATTATTATTATTATTATTATTATTATTATTATTATTATTATTATTATTAACAATATTACACATGAACATATTCTCACAAAGATAACCTTTCCCCACAAACATTCCCCCTTTGGAG